AGTGAATTGGAAGCGTTGCATTCCAAATTTTGGCCCCTAAGAAAGCCACTCCGACAAACAGCCAACATCCCTTGTTGCCCTTTGCCACCAGGTGCCCCTTCCGGGTATCCGATACCCTATTAGTTGCATCCGCTATACTCCATAAAAATCGGGGGTGGGGAGGGGGGGTCCCAATTCTCATCCTCATGGGACTCTACTCCGAACAATGGGTGTGCCTGCTCTCATACGGTCCTTCAAGTCTGAGTATTCTGGGCCCAAGCCGCCGTACCAAAGTGGAGACTGCTCTGCTTATTTTGTCTAACTTGGACTGCATATTTCCAAAGAACTAGCGAGAAGTCTAGCGATAGGATTTTCGAAAGAGTCAACAGGCAGCCTATACACATCTAGTCAAGGTTTCAACGCAGCAACCTTCAAATCGCTTGAGAAGTAAAGCCTTTATCAATCTGACAAGTATGTTAGCAGGAATATAAATCTTCTGGAGAATAGGTTTACCAGTATGTCCACGAAACATACTCTATAGAAGCCATCCTTCTCATCCGGCCCTCAGAACAGTCGCGAAAAGACATTCTCGTAGCGAGACTTTCTCCGCAGTTAATCGCGTTGCTGTGCTTATTTGTGCCCTCGCCTGCATCCACTGCTCTGATTGGTTTGTCGGAGCAGAATTCTAAATAAGCCTCACAGGGTGTGTTTCATTATGCACTTAGCTATACATCACGCCTTGACGCCGTGTGTGCTTTTGCAGAATAGACAAGATTTTGAAAGTATGAAGACGAGCGGATCCAGTCTTAGTTTGGTGACCCAGTCGGCATGCCAGAATAAAGGTTTCTACTATCAATGATCTGATATCATAGGAGATAGGGTATTAGTCAAAGAATATATTGTACCCCTTTCATTCTAGGGGCATCAACCCCGCTCCTCGAGCTAATAAAAGCGACTAATAAGCAGTAAAAATGTTGGTGGAGTATTAGTTATTACTAGATGCGCTCTCTCATCAATACATAGCCCGGACCTTGAGGAGCTGCCTCGGCTTCGATAATAACATATAAGATCCATGGCACATTATTGATAAGTAGTGAACGCTGCTCCACAAATTCGGCCCAGAGCCGAAAGCGCGATGGTGTAAGGCTTGATTGATTAGATGAAGATGTTGGAGACTTCCCCAGCTAAGAAGATGGAATTTTATGCAACTTTGATTCTCATAGGCAGAGTCCGGGGCTATCGAACATATTGAAGCATTCCACGGGAAGAGAGGCAGAGGATCGGAGGCAGCCTTTATATAGCAATTTCTAGCTACGGTGCAGTCACTATCCACTATCTGGCTCACCAGCTTCATAGTATATTAATCACCATATGCAGTGCACATACATTCTCAGGAGATGCTTCAATTTGAGTATCTCACTTCTGTGGGACTTCCCGCTGCTTCATCTCAGTACACGCTATTCGCCAAGTCACGTGATGTTTGTATCAACCAATTCATTGTGAGCTAAACTGCTGCTTTCGCGTAAGACGGACCGATGATTGACAAAAGGTGAAATATAGTTGACAAAGAATTGCTTCTCTGTTCTACACGGCTGCTTAATTACCATATGCATGGTGCCTGATGCTAACAGGTATTCTGATAAAAGAGGCCTAAGTACAGCATGATTTGACATCTTGACATTGTCTCCAAACACACTATGCCGAAAGACAACATAACACTCACAACAGGGCAACACTGAGTCTATCTGCTACCACACCATCATCATCACCACCACCACCACCACCATGACAGAAACGATGCCGCGCCGAAGGCCCTTACGAGACGTACTCAGAGAGTACAGAAATCATTGTAACCAGCACCTGCATTGTTACAACCAAAAGCGCAAAATCTGTCAACTGTGATCGATCCACCACTGCCACATGCAAACAGAAATGAGTTGGAGATGGGGGCACCATTACCCCAGCCGGCCGCTTTTATAGCCTGCGGAATAAGGGTGGAATATTTCGCGTAGTCTAAACAAGGTCGACTGTATTAACAGATGTTGATTAAAATGAGCTTATAACATGAACAACTTACCGATGTCTTGCAAGACACCCTTGCAGTACTTCATGCCTTCGGAGCAGTCGGTAGCTTGGACTGAGACTGCCAAGGCCAGAGTGCTGGCGACGAGGGTAGAGAGAAACTTCATGGTTGTTGGTGGGAGGTTTGACCTCGGTGTTCCTGTGTAATGCGTGCTTGAGGAATGTACTGTTTTGAGATATTTGGTTGAGTTGATAGCTCAAGATATTGGGAGAGCAGGGGCTTACTATATACCTTAGCTCCTGGTCAGCAAGTTCAGAAGTTCCGCATGAACATTTCTTTTTCTCGGCGTGATAATTACATCATCGTGGTATACCGAAGAATCGTGGCAACTTTAGATGCAAGTTGAATCAAAATCTTGCATCAATCTATGTAGTACGAGAGGCTCACTTTTCCCACCGCAGCATCGCTCGGTGGATCACGGTTTACCCCCGGACCCGATAACAATGTTACATGGACAGAGCTTCCTGTGGCTAGCAACCCAGGTATTCTGGTGCTGAAGAACACACTCGGTTAGACTTGTTAGCATCCGTACGCTGCTTCGCACTCGCTGGTCTCCCAAAATAATCCGTAATTTCTTGTTGCTTCCTAGATTTATGTGATATCAGAAGCAGGCGCTTCCGCTTGAAAAGTGTACAACATAGCAAGTCTCGTTTAAAGGAATCATTCCGACTTGGTTGGTATTTTACAAAACTACGTGAACAGCGACACGTAGAGAGCCACTTGTGCTTCGAATTAGTCACTTAGAAAGGTGATCGGGGTTTGCAGAAGGCACTGAAGATCCCTCAGCCCCAAGATATGCATGATTCATTGCTATGGAGCAATTGGGGTCAGTCAGTGGCCGCTGAGGAGAGTGATGGGAAACAAAGTATCTGCAGACAAGCAGCGGGGCTGAGGGTTCTAACATGGGATTATCCGCCACTAGCGCCGGTGATAGTCGGCGATACTACAGTGGTCAGAAGTTTGCATTGGCCTGTATTATACACTAGCCAGATTTGGTTCTGTTTTCTGAATCAGGCTAGATTAAATCTATTCTGCTTACTAAAAAGCAACATGTATAAAGTTCTGTGTTATGATGCCTCACATGGATGTCTATGTGGAGATCTTGTACTGTAAAGTATTAACATCTTTATCTAGAGCTTGATTATAAGTCTTCATGATCAGAGGCTCTATACGCGTCATTCTGGTAAGCAGAATAGATTCGATCTAGCCTGATTCAGAAAACAGAACTAAATCTGGCTAGTGTATAATACAGGCCAATGCAAGCTTCTGACATCCCACTATATAGGCTGAAATGTTCTCGCTGCATTCCATGTACTGGGGATTGAGCGACTTGTACAAGCTGATAGACAGTGTACGCAACATTGTTGGCTGATGCTTATCTACTAATATTGAGAACCGACATCCATCAACCTTCCAAGGCATGCTGTCTTGTAGTTAATTTACAGAGCTCATCCTTTGATAGATTCAAACCTCGTTGGGTAGTTTGTCCTGGGAGATATTGAAGATAATGATGTTACATGAAACCTTTGCATGTATATATGTATGTATATATATCACAATTATCCTCAAATTCAGCATAACTATCTAACGGTACTCTTGCTGAGTCATTAACAGCTAGAAGAAGTTAGTTAGATATCTTTTTGATATATACCAGTATTGTTTATCCCCAGATACAGGCAGTATATTATTATATAAATCTTATATAAAAGTTATGATTTTATTTCTCATATTATATCCCGGTTGGCCGCCTTCGTGTATTAATATAAAAGTCTGTAAAAAATTTTAGAAGAAAATCTATTTAAAAATTTCTATTATACTCAGTATAGAGACAGCGAAAGAAAGAGATATAAATAAGAACCATACTCTATAAAATTTCTTATTATACATAAGATATATTCTTTTTTTTTTTTTTTAAATACTGCATATGTGTCTGGTTTCTTGTCTTCTAGTACTATAATATTTCAAGACAGCTGCAGGGATTAAGCTCACTACACTTTATATTAGCATGGAGTCGAGGAACCTCTCTCAAGACACTCTGTAGAAGTATCATCCAGGATGATTTACCACTAGACCATCCGGCCACCTGAAACCTTTGCACATATCTTGTCGATGGCCCTTTTTCCCATACCCCGGGCAATGTTCAGCATTGGTGGCTGAAGCGTTGCTCGTGCTAGCTACTATCCTTTTCTCCACTGATCACGTCCACCAGGCTAGGCGACTAGACCAACACAGGCAATCCCAAGGAGAGTATAAGGATATCCCTAGTTCAGCTGCCCCAACTAGTATATGCAGGGTAACGCACTTGCTTCCTTATAGAATATATTCTCGAGATACTATGACTTCATTTTGCTATTCTCGTTCTCCGTTTTCTTTCGCTCTCTTTTTGTATGTCCGAAATCCTCTGAAATCGCCTTTACTTGGGCGAGGCTGGCTCTCATCCATGGGAATAGTTTATCCCAAAATGATATCAGATATCCACAGATCACTGTTATCAGAACTCTTTACATTACGAATTATTGGGAGTCATAGGAATGACAATAGAAGGTTGCAGGGATATGTTGGATCGCTGTGACTAGACTGACTAGACCATCCGAAAAAGTGATAATAGCGAAGATTGCGTCGTTGAATCTTATCTCGTTTGCTTGTTGTATCAGTTGGTGTTTTGTCGATAGGAACTCACTTTTGTCGAGGGCAATATAACAAGTCCATGGCGCATAGCGCAAAATAATATCTTACAACACCTTTTTCGTGACCATTCTAGCATGCGCCGCACGCAACCGAGAGAAGTACTGAATGAGTCCCGAGCAAATGATAGTCAGAAAGACAAACGCAAATCTGAGCAATATTGTAATCGTTACCATGTATCACAGCAACATCATTCATAATAACAACAACATTTCGTACCCCAAAAGTAGAGTATATAATTAGGAACTCTACCTCAAAGGTAATCCGAGATTTGGACACCATCATCGACAATAGATTTCAGTGTCTCAAAATCATCGGGAATATCCTCCCATCCTCCTTTTGCGAACTCCGCCCATTTCTTCAAGTATTCAGGCTGTTCGAGGCAGAAAATAACGATATCTTTCGTGGCAACAGCATCCTGCAGCGCACTATGCCCTTTAGAACTATCCTGAATAGACCTATCGAGGAACACCCTCGACAGCGTCTTCAACGACCAAGTCCTCCTAAATCGCTGGGTTTCCCATCTGGGCCTGAACACAGCTTCTGCCGTTAGAATATTCGAGTCGACTATTTTGGAATGGATCATCCCGAGGCAGTTCAAATCATTCTTTATATCGTGCCCAATCAGCACGGTATCACTATCAATATAGTCCCACAGGGCGCGTCTCGCCCCCATCCACCCACGCAAGGCATCGCCGTTAGCTTTGGCCTTCTTCATAGCTTTAAACGTGATCCCACTGTAGCGAGTACACCAGTTGAATATTTTCCTCTGGGGATCAACGTAACTGTCCACGAGGACTTCACCAGTTAGAAAGTCCACGGCAGCGAGATAGGCAATAACTCGCCGTCCTTTTTCTGCTTGCACCATTTCGCAGTCAATGACCACTGCGTCTCTGGCTGTTCGATGGCTAGATTTACCCTTATGGTGATGATTATGGCCACCCAGTGTGCGCTTGAACAGGTCCAAGCGGATTATCCCCTTCCATTGGGGACTATCTGATTTTGGACATGGAGTTGTGACCAAGCCCTCTGTTCTGAGACGAGCCGGTGAATGGCATCTTGCCTGAAGTCTTTTCAGTAAGTCTCCCTGGTTCAGGGTTTTTGAAGTACTCTGACCATTCTTTTCCTCCATTGATAGTTTCGACATTGCTGACGACAGTGTATCATTGGTTGAACAGGAGGAGGAGACTTTAGACTCCGGGGTCATTGCTGCAGAAGAAGAGCATTCCATGTTGAAGGTAGGAATGAAGTCGTCGTAGTTAAATCTTGAACTTTGCAGGAGACGATCTTGCCTAAGAAACAACTTCAGGAAGTTTTTCTTAAGTAGCGATCCCAGACCCTGTCTGGGGTTATATGTCCAAGCATTCTCTGATCTCTGCGCAGCTGGCTCATCTTCTAGGATGTATTTGCCAAGCATACTGGGTAGTTGTGAGCGGTTTGTACCGATCGTAGCACTGGCTTATAGGTATAAGCGACAGCTACGCACAGGGGAAGCCGTGAATATTACTTGAATTAACGATTTTCATGCACTTGTTGAGGGTTAATTAGGGCTCGAGGGAGCTCAAATTCGCGAGCGAAAAGGATTGGTTGAAAATAGTTATTGGGGCGTAGTTAATTACCGATAACAGCTTTGGTGAATGTCTCATATTGCCGCGAGACGCGAATTGGCCCCCAACCTACAACCCCAATGGCATGATGCACACTCTACCAGGTCATTCCAGCATCATGTAGAATAGAATCAGGAAATATTTGCAGGATGTAAGGGTCATTTGGAACGTCACCTTGACCGGTACTTTTCATCACACTATGCTCGACAAGGGAAAGGATGTAACTGTTGTAGTTGAGAATATATTCTGACATCGTGTTGTGCATATTGTCGAACATAATGTTACGATTTGCACGTATGACTAACAAGGAATGCCTCACTTGCCATTTTACCCTTAGCCAGGGTGATAGTTAATTCGGATTTGTCCAGGCTAGGAAACCTACATTTCTTGTCTTACCCGGTTTTGCCTGTCGCTTCCAGACAGCTTCTGTTGTAACTGCCTTGCTATTTTCTTTCTCTGCATATAAAGCATATCCAGCTTAGAAATTTTCAAATCAGCCCGGATGGTCTAGTGGTATGATTCCTGCTTCGGGATTTGAAATGCAGGAGGCCCCGCGTTCGAATCGCGGTTCGGGCCTGATCTTTTTTGAGTTTTTGACACTCATACAACCTTTCCGAGACAGACATGCATTTTCTAGTGAAACGGTTGTTTGTGGGGAAGATACTGTTTGCGCAAGACCTTTAATCCTTGGTGCTATGTGGTTACACTAGAGCCAAAAACTCTTTAAGGTTAGCAATAATAGAAGTGCACAAGAAGGATCAATCGAAGAGTTTCAAAGCAAAATGAAAGATTGTATTGCTTCGGTGTATGCATACGGATGAAACTGTAGAAGCACTAAAGCCTAACTAAGGAAGTCCATAATGTTCCTGGTCAAATACAAGAAACGAAGTGAATCCATGTGTTCCCTGGGGTGCACCCTGATACTCTGTGCTGAACAGAAATCCCTTCTGGATGTCACATGCGTCAAATTCACGTCTGTGAACAAAGACACCCCCAGTACACAAATAGTAATCTGTATTGCTCGGGTCACTGCGGTCGTCATTGTCTTCGGCTGGCCTTAGATTCAAAGTCTGTCCTGCCTCGGAAATACTCGCCAAAACAACCCTCGTCAAAGACGGCATCTTCCTGATTTGCGTGAAGACAGGCTCCCATAACCCAGAGACAAGGTTCACTTTCTCAAGCCACAGGATTTCGATATCGGGATGGTTGCGTAGGAATTCTAGCAGGGAGTCTGAAGTGGCGTAGATACCGAGCAGATGGAGTCTCCTCAGCCGTGGAAGACGGACCTTGCTAGCAATGTGTTCAAACAGCCGATGGTATAGGCTTACATCCCCAATCACTGTACAACGGAGCCTAAGGGTCAAGGTTTCTAGGTTTGGCATGTTCTGCAGTAATCGAGCGAGGCCAGGATAGTTGTTCTCAAAGTTCACCTCGGGATCATGACTCGCAAGAAGAGCCCCCGGCCTGAGTCCGTGCCAGCTTCGGCGGGTTTCACGCTCCCATCTTTCCATTTCGGCTTTCCGTTTCGAAAGCCTCTCTGAATTGGCATCTACTCGCGTTGATAGATCTATTGAAAAGTTCTTGATCGACTGACCCGAGGTAAAGATACAAGCGGCTGTATCGAGGGTAAGCATGTGGGCGGTTATTTCGTTGGTTGGAATGGCTGAGCGTATTGGGATTTTAAATATTGTGAGGCTATTGAGTTCGATGGTGCTTTTTGCAATAGCAGACATGGCTATGTGATAGACCTGGGTTGCTTTGCACCAAACAGCATGCCAGTCACCTCGGGACCTAAATAAATCTGGCCGTGGGGAATAAGTGACTTTGGCTTCCATAGCGATGAAGTTTAGCATTCCAAAATTGTTTAATATGGCTGTCAGAGTCGGCACTGCGAAATTTTCATGGGCGAGCTGGTGTCTCGCAGACTCTTCCTCCAACCATGCTAGATCTGCCTCTGCTAGGACCACCTCATCCAGTGTACAATCCCTTGCTGTTATCCAGGGAATACTATCCTCATCTTCGCATCGACTAGTTCTGAGAACCTTCTCGAGGAGAAAACTGTCGTAGACTGCTGCGACTATGGTCAGATCCTTGACAGCTGGGCGCAGGATGTTATGGCTGGAGAGAGCACTGAGGGACTCCAGGCTCCGTGGGGTCAGATCAGTTGATTGGTGCCGCACAAATGATTTGAAGCGTGGACCCAGGCATAGCTGACTCCATGTTCTGTCGGTTAATCGGAGGGATTTGATGGTCTCCGGGTCGAGATATTCAAGGATCTCGTCCACCACAACAATGGGGAGATACAAGGTCTCCTTTGCGATAGAGCCCATGGTGTTAAAGTGCTGATTGAGCGATGTATAGGAACTTCTGATCTTTGTAAGGGAAAGGGTCTAATCCTTGTGATCTTTGGAAGTTCTGATCACAATGGGTATGTCTGCCAGCTCCCCCGCCGATCCTCAAATAACGCGACCTGAACGGTGAATAATATGTTAACGAAAATTACTGCATAGTCAATTGCTAGTGTTACCATACCCCCTTCCAAAGAATGATCCAGCACTGGCAGGGAGCAAACCTCACGTGGTGGTGTATGATTAACCTGGCTATGAAAATAGGTAGCCTCTAAACGTGAATAGACATATTTGGTACAATATGCATTCCAGTAGTATTCGCCCCCGATCGTATAGTGCAGTGTGAGATGTTGAGGTAAGAGAACGAGGAATAAAGAGAACCAGCAGACGCGAGACGCATTGAATTCCAACCAACGGGACAGGAAGAAACCGGAATTTCTTTGTTCACAGTCACTGACTAAATCTAGCTCTACACTACCACAATTAGGGGCAGCTATCCCAGCTACATTGGCACGTTGCAACCAGGACGTCGAATCGGCATGTTGCGCCGGGTAGGGTTGGTGAAACGGTGGGACAAAGTAACATCGCCCGTCAATTCTATTGGACTACCCCAACCAGCCAAGATGTGTTCCTGGATTTCGACTTGAGCCTCGCAATCCTTGCTGTCATACTTCCTTTGAATTTTTAAGGTGGGATTATTATCGAAGTAACATCCTGGTCATGATTGGCTCATCCTGGCTTTAGTCATTAGGAAGCGAATCAGTATCCCGTATCCACCATAACGAGTCACCAGTCCAATCAATAACGGAAATGGGACGCAGCATGCCGTCCTATACGATATATAAGCCTCGAACCAAGATTGGCAAGATCTACTACCCTGTAGAACTATCTGTAGCACATATTTATACTCGGCACGCGCATATTCATTTACCAAGGACCCGTGATATGTAAAGGTAGAATAGACATTATATTTCCGGGTATTATAATAATTCAGTTCTCTTTCTCATATTTGTAAACATAGATGGCGCAAAGTCGTCGCTAATTAGCTGTGGTCGACGCGAAAATGTGGCCCTGTCTGCGAATATTTCGATTAAGCGCCCTTGTATCATGGCTTCCGACAGCAGAAACAGCCTAGCCCTGCTGCTGTCATGCATGGGCGACAATATCCATAAAGCCTCTGCGGAGCCCATTAGCCGGGGCCTAGTGAAGGGTATCAAGTATCGTGAGTGGTGGATATAGCAGGAACGGGGCTGTGCTGCTCCGCAGGTTTGGGCTGTGCAGGCGTAGAGTCTAGCTCCTGGATTGAACCGGGCAGCTCAACTGGCCTCTGTGGTACTGCTACTGACGGTGACTCGGCGGGAGATATCTCTGATGGTGGTGCTTCGTGGATTTCTCTAGGCGCCACAGACGGCATCACAGCAACTCGTTCAGCCACCTCGGACGACGGTGACTGCGGTGGCATGGCATTCGTAATCTCCACAGGTGGCTCCTTTGATGCCTGCTCACAATCGAAGTTTGACCTATGACCAGAAAAGACATCGGATTGCAACGCCTGCATAAGCCTGTTGGCCTCAACAGGCGGGGGGATGTCGCCGCTCAGCAGTTCCCGTGCCTTGACAATATCCCCGTAGAGTTTCCGGTTCGCGAGCCTGTTTTCGAAGATAATGCCCCCTTCTGCACTCACACCACCAAAAAAGCCCTTGGTTTGAGCGAAGGAGAATATTCCCATAACACCACCGGTGCTTACGACGCCCGCAATTTCTCCACTGCGTCCGACCGGTCCCACTGCCAGTGAGACGTTGAGACCAAGAGTTAGGCTTCCCAGCTTTGCAAACGTTTGCACGGCATGGTCGCTCTGCAGTATGAACACGAAATCTGTCAATTCGACACCAATTTGTCCACCGAAGCCACCTCCCACGGACGCGATGGCTGATGGGGCGGACCAAGACCCGTCGGGTAGACGTGCAACGAGGATACCAGAGCCAAGGCGCACTGACCCTAGGAAGCCGGCTTTGGCAACTGTGAGGATGGCGAGGCCCTTTGAAATGTGAGTCAAGGTAGTGGCGAGGCGAGCACTTATTCATTGCATACCTTGGCACTAGCGAGTAGCTTTCGTGGGATGGTACGTCCCGGGCTATTGAAGCCATCGGGATCTGTGAAAGAGTTGATGATCTGAGCTGCTTTTTCGCATTCGCCTGATTGTCAAGCAAACTTTGTTAGTTTCGAGTTACGCAATGAATGGCCCCTTTGTAGATTGTCGTAGAGCTGGGACGATTCATAACATGAAGGTCAACATCAAAGTAAATCGATACGTACTTCGCAAAGATGAGGGAAGCGGGTTGTGAACAGGCATTTTCAAAAAGAATCGTACAACTCTGAGATTGTTGACAGGAAACAATCCAGACCCTGCGGCATTCTTTTGAAAGAAAACGGAACGAGGCTGAGGGGTCCTGTGGGGTCCAAAGCTTGACCAGAAGCAGTAAGCAGCATTTTAGCCGCAAATTTTAAGGGTCTGCATTTCCCCTTTCACTCTAGCCGGCTACGGCGGTTAATAGCGGCCATCGGGCAAAAACGATTTTTGGTGTTTACTGCCGGCAGAATTAGTATGTAGCTGATTGGATCATGTAGCTTATCTAACATATCTATATCTAGTATCTATAT